CGCTTGCCAGGCAGATGCTGCACTGCTGAGCTATCTCCCCAGCACCCCTGGCACCACATTTTCCCGTTTCTGTACCTTTTGTTTTTGGCAAAAACCCTTATACCCTGAGAGCACCTTCCCTGTTAACGTCAGTAAATGCAGCTGCTTTTCATCTACTTCTGGGTGGATTCTTGCAGTTCTTCGCACAGTGTACACAAGTGCCCGGAGTCTGTCTCAGGAGGACCCGTGACAGCTGATAATCGTACCGATGTTGACCAAAAAGAAGCACAAAAGTAGCAAAAAGAGGCAGTACCTGAATTCTTGCAAAAAACCCTGCTTATTCCTAGAAAAGACATGGCCCTTCCTCCCCTTTCCTAGCCTATCCTTCCTCCTCCTTTCTTCTACCTCATTGTCTATTACCTTCCACCACTGCCAGGGCCAAGAGTTGCTCTGTAAACTTATCTCCCATCTGTCCTATTCTTAGGCAAAAATAAAAGTCTTTCACTCTGAAGTGCTGCTCAGTCCTATTAGTTCTATAGTTCCCAGAGGGAAAGAAGATCCAACTGGGGTTAAAAAAAAAAAAAAAAAAGTAACATTTTCAACTTATAATGGGTTTATCTGTATATAAGTGAATCCTAAGTGGTGGATCATCTGAGATATTTCATTTTCTATTTATGATTAACACCAATTCCCTAGGCTTCTTTTTTTTTTATTTTTTATTTGTTGTTTAGTAGTTTTCACCAGTTTCACTGGGAGTCTTGACAAAGAGATGTGAGGCAAAAGCAAGATGCTCTGGCTTTGGGCTAGCGAGCTAGCTCAGGGGACTAAAGCGCCTGCTTGGGCAAGCTTAGGCAAGCGCAAGGACCGTGGTTCAATCCCCGGCACCACATGCTCTGAGCCAGCCACAGAGTCCTGGTGTAGTGGCACACGCTTGTAATCCCAGGGCTGGAGAGGTTGAAAACAGGAGGATCACCATGAGTCTGAGCTGTGTAATGAGACCCTGTAATCAAATACATTTAAAAAAAAATGCTCTGGCTTTGAAGCTACTGGAAGGGGCCTGAGCTGAGGGGTACAAGGAGTGTGGGCCTAGAAGCAGGAGGGGGAGAGCAGCAGATGCTCCCCTTCTGGGGCCAGAAGGAATGAGCCAGCCTGCACTTTGACTGTTACCTCATGAAACTGATCTTAGATTGCTCACCTCCAGAGCAATAGAGAACAACCTTGTAGGGTTGTACATTTGTTTCTGGTAGCTCCTCACAGCCACAATCAGACTCAAACACGCCACTCTCTCTCTGGGGGCTAACCCCCAAGGGACTGAGTGGGAAAGGACAGGAGGAAATGAGGGGAATGGAAGATAAGGTTAGACGGAAGGAGTTGACCCTGGCTCTTTTGGTTCAGCCAGAGCTGGGGTGGGAATCACCATTTCAATGAGGCTTAGAGGTCTGTGATAATAATAAACTTCAGTGGCCTCCAGGGACTCTTTTGAAAAAGACAGGTTAAACTTCCTGGTATTTAAAAAATTTACACCTGAGTGTGTCCAACCTTGGCAGGTTTCCTAAAGGTCCTTGAGATTTCATGTAGGGTTCACAAGGCTATCCAAAGCAGTCTTCCCCTCCAGAGCCTCCGGTTAATCACATCATCCCTATGTCATGGGGTGCACACCTCTCAGGGGCTCACCCTGACCTCTGGGGACTGGAATGTGTTTTCTCTGACGGGAGGCTGTGTGCCCTCTTAGCTTCCCGATCCCTTGTGCAGGCGGTGCCAGGCCCCAGGCTCCAGAGGTCTCAGGATGGGTCACACCCATGTCTGGGCCCTGCTCAGCCTGGTGTTGAAACCCAGCTCTGCCACTTATTGGCTGTTGGCCCTTGGGAGAGGAACTTACCTTTTCGTGCCTGACTTGGCCTAGAAAAAATATTGCTGAATATTTAAAATAATCAGCTATGCACCCCACAAGCCTGAGGCCCCAAGCTCAGCCTACAGAGCTCATCTCCGTTAGCTGAGGCTCCTTGGATTTGATGTGGGAGTGACTGTAGACCCCTTGTTGTGACCCTAAACTGAAGCTGAGGCAGAAAGTGAACTTTATAACTTCCTGCCACGCTCCAGCCAGGGCAGCCTGTAGGCGGGGGTGGGGGGGGTGAAGTCTTGGAATGCCAGGCAGGCCATCAACCTGTCATTTGTTCAGCTTGTTTTTTTTTTTTTTTTTTTTTCTGGGTGGGCAGTTCAGGCTAACCCTGAACTCACTACATAGCCAGGTTGGCCTCAGTCTCATAGTGAGCCTCCTACTTCAGCCTCTCAAGTGCTGTGTCTAGGTTACTTTTTTTCTCATTGCTGGGACAAAATACCTGACACCACAAATCAAGAAAGAAAAGGTTTATTTAGCTCACAGTTTGTGGAGGTTTCAGTCCGTACTTGGCTGGCTCCAAGGCAGAGCGGCACATGGCAGAGGGCAGCTGTTTATGGCAGCAGAAAACAACAGAAGCAGCAGGAGCTAAAAGGGAGGAGCAGCAGTAGAAAGCAAGCCTCTCTCCCTCCCTTATATTGCATTCACGCTCTCTGCCCTGGGGCGGGTGTAGTACTCACACCCATAATTCCAGCACTGGATCATCTATTAATCACAAACTCTAGAAACCACCCATGACTGCATGAGGCTTTTGGGGGACGCCTAGACAGAAACCATAATATGCTGGAATTCCAGTTGTATACTATCAAGATCAGCCATAAACAGTTTATTATGAGGTAAATGTAGATTTATATATATATTTTTTCGGATTTATTTATATATTTATTTATTTCTGTTGTACTAGGGTTCAGACCCAAGGCTTTCACCTGGGGTTGTATCTCCAGTGCTTTTTATTTATTTTTTATTTTATTTTATTTATTTATGTTTGACGGAACCGGGGACTGAACTCAGACCCTTGTGCTTGCCAGGGGAGCACTTATTCTATTGAGCTATCTCCCCAGCCCACTTTTTATTTTTTGAGACAAGATCTCATTAAGTTGCTAAATTGTACAGACTGAGCTCAGATTTGCAATCCTCCTGCCTTTGCTTCCTAGAATGCTGGGATTTCAAGTATGTGACACCATATCCACTTTCAATAGGGAAAAGACTCAAATCTTCAGAAAAAGATGCACAAGTCATACCATGCCACTCATTTTATTGCTTCACCTGCATTTTATTGCTCGTATTGTTCTTTTTTTTTTTTTTT